TTTTAAATTAGTACATATTTGCAATACATAAAGATTACTCTCCTCTTGGGGTGTAGCCTTTACATATGTTATACACACACACACAGAACTCATTAACTCTTTAAGTATCCATCCCATCAATTTAATGGTATTTCAAAAGAAAAGGTAAATTACATAAAATATGCAGATAAACTAAGTAAACCAACTACAAAGATATCTATGATTAAAACAGTTCTTAGAAACAAGAAAAGAGGTGGAGCAAAGAGAAAGTATAGTGTGGGATGTGAAGTGGCCTCAAAGATTAATGTTTGGTCATTTTACAGAAACTGGGAATTGGGCCTTATTAATGTCTTCTGCAAATAGTGACAGAGACTGAAAGACAAGTTAAATGATTCTTATTCCAAAGGTCTTTCAATTATTTCCCAAATAATATACAGGAGTCCAAATTTACATATAGTGTTAAGGCACTATAGTGTTTGAGTTTGTCTCATATAGACCCCAGCTAGCCTAGCCCCAACTCAGGCTGCCTGAGGCCAGAGGCAGTGTGTCACCGAATTGGTTTGGATACCCTAAGCTTTGGCACCTTAGCAAAAAAGAATACAAAATACAACTTACAGGATCAATAACTGTGGAAAGTAGTGAGTTTTTCTCTCATTTGAGAAAATAATTTAGAGATAAGGTCAATACTAAAGTGCAAATAGTTTCTGCTTCTATTTCCGGCTACACAAATGAAAATACCCACTCTAACTTACTGACTCTGAACAATATGAGGATCAAAAACAAAAAGTTGAGAAGTGCTATTGTTAGAAGTTAAAATGGATTTACAAAAATAAACTGGGCTCAGTCTACTGTACAGATGGATTCTCTCTATAGCACGCCTTTAAAATAGTAAAACTCTGTAATGCATTTAAAATAAGATGTGCACAACTAAAATTTGAGAACATCTTTTCAATAGAACAAGTTATGTTTGTAAGTGAAAAGCATTTTCTGTAACTTGATCAGCACAAAGTGAAGTTCAGATCATGCTCATAAGAGAAGCATGGGGTTAGATACTGGTCAGGCACAACTCTCTCTCAACTGACATTTTAACACAAGGAATATCAAATTATGGAGAAAGAGAAAGAGAGAGAGAGACAGACAGACAGACTGACAGAGAGACAGAAGCTGGTACAATTCAGGGAAAGCAGCTAAACTTTCCCCAATTAAAAGCTTGCTGACTAGGAGCCCTTCTTTGTATAGCATATTCCATGAAACTGGGCCACTAAAAATGCAGTCTTGCTTCACATTTCAAACTGAAGAATCTGAACGCAGAGTATGTTTTAAAATTTCAAAACTCACAGTCTATCCTAGGAAGAAATTACTTTCCAAATCACTTGCATTTTAAGTTCATCAGCTACTCCTAATTTTATCTTGCAGTAATTTTGATTTGTGCTTCTTATAGCAATTAGAACCATTTTTCTATTCTAAGTCAGTAAAATAAGCTTTAAAGTTACATATTACACATACACATCTCTATTGCCAAAGTTAGCTATGTGTGAACTACAACTAACCCACTCAGAAACTAATGAATCTCTTAGTGCTTATTTTATACTAGGTAATCAACAGTGTGACCTAGTACAGGGAAGACACATGGTTCTTTCCTTAGTTCTTAGTGTGTTCATTCATTCATTTTACTGGGAAGGGAAGACATATGGTTGGTTGGTTTTGTGGTATCAGGGACTAAACCCAGAGCCTTCATACTTAGGTACATCCCTATGCTTCTCCTGAGACAGGGTCTTGCCAAAATCACTAAATTCCTGAGGCTAGGCTCAAATATGCAATCCTTCTCTTCATATTTCCAGATTACAGGCAGGCACCACCACACCTGTCTAACGGTCCCTACATTTAAAAATCTGCAAAACACGCTTAACAATTACCATGCTCTACGGTTGACATAGTCCTAGTTCTACCCATGGAGGAGGATTCAAGTGGATGGAGAGTAAAGCTCATGTACGGTGCACAAAAGCAAAACATAAAATCACAGTTAATTTATACCAAAGGATTTGCTCCACCAGCCATGGGAAGGGCATTCCTGAGCAAAGGATGCTAATCAGACACACACACAAATCTGTCACACAACCCAGCCACATTCTCAGGTCCTATATATCCACAAACTGATACATAAAGAAAATCAGATTTAAACAACCCAAGGGAAAAGTTACAAACCAATACACCCTATACACAAAACACTCTGCTCAAAGACACAAACACCCAAGATACTTCTACATGTACATAACTCCCTATCCTTCATGTTTTTTGTTTGTTTTTTAGACAGGGCCCCACTAGCAGGATAGTCTTGAACTCACTACGTAGCCCAAGCTGGCCTTGAACTTGCAGTGATATTCCTGCCTCAACCTTCCAAGTGCTGGGATTACAAGTGTGTGCCACCACACCAAGATCCCTCACAAGCTTTCCACCCTCTTCCTCCACCCCTACTTTCCCCAGTATGGTCCACTGATATCTGCTAGAAGGAAAGAATAGTTCAGTGCATAGCAGTCCAGTGTGTCCAAAGCAGCAGATGAGAGTACTTGGGAGAAGAAAAACGATTTGAAAGAGTTCGATTTCAAAGATTAGAGGTAAAGAATGGAAAACTCTGGCTTGGTGGTACACAGCTGAAATTCTAGCTACTTGGTGAGCTGAAACAGGAAGAATGAAAAATGAAAATTCAGACCAGGCATAGCTGTGCACACTTGTATGCCAGTACTCAGGAGACTGAGGCAGGAGGATCACTGTGAGCCACCAGGGCAAAGTGAGTTCAAGGTCGGCCTGCACTGCATAGTGAGACTTGTCTCAAAAAACACTAAATAAACAAGCCAGGGATGCAGCTCAGTGCTCCTTGGGTTCAACCACCCATTCCAGAAAGAAAAAAAAAAAAAAAAAAGGCAAACCCTACTTTTAAAAATGCCATATTCGTTCCACTCTCAAACTAAACTGTCTAAATAACAATGTCTAAATAACAATGTCTTCAAAGTAATACTAGCATGGGTATATTTAGAAAAACTAAACATAAACTATTAAATTTGATAATTTGGAGATTAACAATTTATTAACAATAGACACTTCATGATCTGTTGGGCACTTAATACTCACCTGCCTCTGGTCAGACAAAGTAAATAACTAAAACTCAAGAAGCTCACAAGAAAAGTGAGTGGGCACACAAACAAACCAATACAATACAATGTTAATAACTGCTCAAGGAGCACAGAGGAAGGAACATTCTAGTGTGGGCCAGCCCGGAATGTAAGAAAAGGTGTCACCAACCAGCAGGCAACAGCAGGCTCTCCTGGAGGGCCTTTCTGAAGCATCTGTGTATACTCTGGAAAGAAATGGGCCCATGAATGCCAAGCCGAACATAGCAAAAGTCATTAGGCACGGGAAACTAGCTTTTGAGACAGAAAGTAGAATGTAGAATGCTGAGAACAAAATCTCAAAAATGGGCTAAAGTCCCACACGTGCCAGATTCAACCGTTTGTGAACTTTAACCTTGGAATACAGGGAGTCCTAACAAGAGCAGGGTCACACCTCCGGTTGAAGTAGCTAAATCTTGGGCTGCACAATCAGTGCATCTACAGCAAGTAATTCAAGGGTGTACTTAAACATGCACAAATCTGTGATTCTTTCAGGCTAAAATTTACTTCCTCCTCCCTTTTAAAATGATTTATGTTTCTGCTACTAATTATAGTACCAAAAATTACAAGCGTGCTCTCAATAAATATCAAAGACTGAAGAGAAAAGTTACAGCTGCCAACAGCTTCAACTAATGATACTATACGGAAGCCTTCATACCTATAAAGCCACGCTTGACTGAAGTTTGTATCAAAATCATCACCAGACGAAAAGAATCACAGCCAATCACATTAATTCACCTGCCCACTATTTTAGATAAAACTTCTTCCTCAGAACAAATTTCATTAAGTTCCTAAAATTAACTTCAAAGAACACATTTCACTGCCTAGTATTCCTAAAGTTTCACCGCTCCAGGGATCGTAAACTACAGCTCCACAACCCGCCCAGGGAATTTCTCGGTGCCCCGCTAGTGTCCACCTCAGTATAGCAAGAAGGATCGAGCTGTCATTTTGAAAACACGTTCGTTCCCCTTCTGAGCGGTCACCCCAACATCTCCTTTGGTGGTGGGGGGGTACTGTGTGGCAGGACCCACGGCGCCGCAGGACGAGGGTAAGGGACAGCAGAGACAGCACAAAGGGGAGGGAGCGACGCGGGGACGCCGGGCCGGGGGAGGGGACGCAGCCGGGCGCAGGACGCGCTCGGAGGACACTCGAAAAGAGGCTCGTGCCAAAACAAAAACAACCGAAAGTTCAGCGCGGCGGCGGTAGCAGATTGGGCGAGCCCGTTCACGGCTGCCCATTGGAGAAGAGGGAAAACAGAGTCCCCCAATCGCAAGCGGCGGGGCTGCTCCCCTCGTGCGGCCGCGGCCCGGCTCCGACGCTGCCCGGCGGCCGCTACCGCTCCCTTCCGGCCGCGGCCACCACTGCAGGCCTCCCGCCCCTCAGCCCCGCCCCGC